TTTATCGTCAAATAATATTTCTTTGTATGGATGTACCGTGTTTCTTGTTCATTTGTCAGTTGATGAACATTTAGGTTGTTTTCTGTGTGGGGCTATTTTAAATGAAACTGCTTTGAGCATAAGTGTGGACATATGTTTTCATTCCTCTTGGGTAAATACCTAGGAGTGGAATGGTGTATATTTAACTGTTAAAAAAAAAAAAAAAAGCACCAGACTGCTCTCCAGAGTGACTGTACCATTTTACATTCTCTCAAGCAATGTCTGAGAGTCCCCGTTGCCCTCTGTCTACACCAGTGCCTGGTATTATCTGCCTGCTTACATTTTAGCCATCCCCCCGGCGGGGGGGGGGATGTGAAGTGGCAACTCATTGTGATTGTCATCTGCATTTCCCTGAAGATGGGGAACATCTTTTTGTGTGCTCCTTGACCACCTGTATCTATCTTCTTGGGAGAAGCAACTGTTCAAATCTTCTGCTCATTTTAGATGAGATTGTTTGTCTTCTTGTTGTTGAGTGGCAAGAATTCTAGGTTCTCTTTTGCTGAACAGAGTGTTCAGGCTGGATGAACCAATGAAGATTGCTCTGTGCAGAGGGATACAGCTAAGCCTGCCGCCAACACCTTTGTCACCCCTGCTTCTTGGATCCCCTAAACATCTTCCTCACGGGTCCTCAATAATTTTTTTTTATTTTTGGTACCGGGGATTGAACTCAGAGGCACTCCACCACTGAGCCACATCCCCAGCCCTATTTTGTATTTTATTTTTAGAGACAGGGTCTCCCTGAGTTGCTTAGCGCCTCGCTTTTGCTGAGGCTGGCTTTGAACTCGCGATCCTCCAGGGTCCCCGATCTTATTCGATCTTCCCAATGTGAAGAGCTGTCCTGGCGTTTGATAGCCTTGACTTCTGCCCAGGACCCTGAAGACGGCTCTGGTATCTCTCCTTCCACCTTCTCAGTCCTGCCACCATGAAAGTTCTTCCCTTGTGCCGGTCCCCACCCCAAAGTCCCCTCTTTCTGGATGTGGCTCCCAGTATGTGGAAAGCTCCCCTGGATCCTTGTTCCCTTCTCCAGTGGACACATCTCATGTGTGGTCTTGCAGCTGCCCATCACTCACCCATCTCCTTGCCAGGTCACCCATGCATCCCATGTCCCAGAGCCTAGCTCAGAGCCCAGGATTCAGTTCAATGATACTCAGTGATGATACTCAAGTTTCAACCAGAAACTTGGTTGGGAGGCCCAATTCCATCATCCAGGTGCTGGGGAACTTATGCATGGCTCCCTGCACCTCATCTATAACCTGTGGGGGCCACGCCCATCACATGCTCCAGCACAGTCTCTTTGTGGTGCCAGATTCAAGAACTTGGCCCACCTCAGGGCCTTTGCACATGCTGTTCTCACTTATTATGTTCTTCCCACAACTATCCCTCCTTCCTTCAGGCCTCTATTCAAAGTTACCTCCCTGACAACCCCTCAGAATTCACCTCATTGCTGTATGCCTCCCCCCCACACACAATGGCTCAGTGGAGCTAAGGGTGGAACCCAAGGCTTTGCACATGTTAGATAAGCATCCCACCACTGAGCTACCCATCCCCTAGCCTTACACCCTGATTTTGTTGTTCTTTCTCATGCATCCGCCCAACATCTCTTGGGTTTTATTTATTTACTTACACATTATTTCTCACCAGACCCAAGATCCTCAAGGGAGGCAACTCTGTTCCCAGCTGCCTCCCCAGATCCCGAGACATAGTTGGCCCTCCACAAATATGTGTTGAATGAATAACTGCTGGGGAGGGCTAAGGGAAATACCAAGTGTGGTTGTCCTTCACAACCCTCTGTGTTCACAGAGGCACACGGCGGTGCAGAGACCCACCCAGGGCCATGTGGTCGAGCAACCCACTCTGCAGCCTGTACCCCTCCCTCGGAGCCCCTCCTGCCCACTCTGCCTGGGATCAGCACCCAGAATCACACCACCACCTCCACCTCCACGAACACACAGGCCACACCCAACGGCCACATGCACAGAGAGGTGCCCAAGGTAGGCTCAGCCAGCCTTGCACAGACAGGGATTCCGTGCACACACTCAGCACATAACACACAGCCTGGCACAACTGGAAATTCACATTCACATGCACGTGCACACACACACACAGAGTCTAGCACACTCAGAATTCCATTCACACCCCCATACCCACCCACAGACACTCGGGCCACACACGTACCCCATGCACCAACACCCCCCCCACACAGTGGCAGGCCTTGGGGACTGATGGGCCCAAGACTCCCATAGGCCTGTGTTGCCATGACAACAGACAGCTCCTGCATCTCCGGCTGTGAACACAGCCGGCCAGAGGGAGGGTTGGAGCTAGGCTGTGCATCCCAACTGCAGCGGACACTAGGCTGAGCAGTGGCAGCCCCGGGTCTCCGCACAGACCTCCAGTGCCAGCCTCCATGGGCACAGAGTTGGTCCTCTCAGCTGTGTGTGTCATCTTTCACACAAGGGATGCAGGCCCTGCTTTTGCTCTGTGCCCAGAACCTGTTTCCAGGTGTCGATCCTCACGACACCGTTGCCAGACAAGTATTGCTGGAGAACCCATTTTACAGATGGGGACAATGAGGCTCAGTGAAGAGAAGCCCCCAAGCCTTGCTCAGGGTCCCACAGTGAGTTGTCGGTGGGGCTGAAGTTTGAACCTGGGTCTGGGTCTGCTGGACCCTGAGGGACTCTTTCCACCACTTTGCCCCACATCTGAGCTGGGAGGGCTCATTCAGGGGCAGCTGAACTTTCCTCTGGTCTCATAGCTGTGCACGCTTCCTTTAAGCAGGAGCAACCAAAGATCGGTTCTTATACCCCGGCTGGCTTTGCTCTTGTGACACTCCCGTGGTAGATAGTGAGATCCCCATCAGAGTGGCATTCAGATGAAGGCTGTCAGCATTATGGAGAAGGACCATATATATACCTGGGGGTTGGGGGAGGAATGGAGAGATAGACCTGTACTAGTCTCTGACTTGCAGGTGACATAGATAGATAGATAGATAGAGAGAGAGATACAGATAGAGATAGAGATAGATATTGCAGTGGTTCATGCCTATAATTCCAGCTACTCAGGATGCTGAGGCGGGAGGATTGTAAGTTCAAAATTAGCCTTAGCAAACAGCTTAACCAAACTCTGTCTGCAAATGAAATTTAATTTTTTATTTTTTAAATCCTAGTGGCTCGGGAGGCTGAGGCAGGAGGATCGCGAGTTCAAAGCCAGCCTCAGAAACTTAGTGAAACCCTGTATCTAAATAAAATATTTAAAAGGGCTGGGGATGTGGCTCTGTGGTTGGTGCCCCTGGGTTCAATCCCCAGGGGAGGGATAGGGGAGAGTTGTATATAGGTGGGGGCTATATATAGACAAACATACATGTCTCTATATATATGTAAACTAAATTGGAATGTAACTGGCTTCACAACAGCTCTCAGATAGTCTCAGGAACTTTGTCTGGGCTTCCCTTTCCTCGGGGTTCTCTTTATTTTCGAATCAACTCGTCCTGGCTCTGGGTACAGCTCCAGGCTTGCATGATTCCAGCATAGCGTCTCCCAAAAGCCCACTTGAAATAATGTCGTGGGTCTGAATCTAAGTGAATCCCCACCTGAAAGTCTGGGAGAAGCTCTCAGGCATCAGCGGCTTATGGAATTCCAACGGCAAACCCTGCAGCTCTCACAACCTCCATCTCATGAATAGGGTGGCACCCGAGACAGGGTTGAAGGCCCACGGCCCCTTGATGGGCTGAGTTCATGGGCACTTCCCATCCAGGACAGGACGGTTCCATTCAGTTTTCCCCAAGGATGCAGAAGTGCATTTGCTTAGCAGACAGCAAGACAAGTGCCCTCCCTCCCAGGCAGCCCCAGGAGCTGTGTGCATGGAGCTCGAAAGTCTCAGCTGCAGTGCGTGACCTTGGACAAGCCATTCTCAGTGTTTGGCCCATTGCATGGCTCATCTGTAAAGTGGGCAGCTTCCCCCATCCCCAAGGGCAGTGCTCACGTCAGTGGTAGGAGACTCTCAGCAGCACAGCCCATAGAACTTTTTATAACGTCCCACACGGTAGCCGCATGTGGCTCCTGAACTCTAGGAATGTGGCTAGCATCACTCAATTTTAAATTTTTGTTGCACTCTAATTAATTGGACTATAAACAGCCCCACATAGCCCAGGATAACCATAGCGAGTGGCAGAGGTCTAGGATTCCAGATAAGTACTGTATATTAATTTCTGTTTTTGTCTTCCTTTACCAACTCCTGTTTCATACTTTGGTTCCAAGCAAAAAACCCAGCTTCTTGCATTTCCTCTCTAAGGGGATCCTGCTGGTCTCCTCCCCAGCCAGGAAGAGACAATCACCTGTCCTGATCCGCAGCCCTGGCAGAGAGGTGGGGGCTGGGCTCAGAGTTGCTCCAGGACCTTTGCATCACTCTAGGGAGGAAACAGGACTTGAATAATGGCTGAGATCTAATTTCCTACCAGGAAGAATGGGAGCTTGCTTAGAATAGGGTGTAAGTTGATCCAAAGGAAATTAAGAGCCAGCTGTTTCTGACAAACTCACGTTTTCTGGTAGGTCCATACTGCGTGTGCATGCCCCTGGTTTCTACCTTTGTATCCCATAACCCATGCACACATGCCCAAACCTACCCCCCACACACCATGCCAGTGTGTGTGGACACAGGGGCCACCACGTTCCCTATGGATTCCCTCCTCCTGAGCTCCCAAGTCTAGCAGCTTGGACCCGCCATGTGGTCTGAACCCCAAGACCCCCATCATTTCCTTCTCCTCTATCTGTCCTGTCACCCACCACCCCCTGGGTCCCCGATGGCCTGCAGAGATACATGGCTGCCACCCACCCCATCTACCCACTCCCATCCAGCTCTGGGAGGGCCCGGGGCAGTAGCCAAAAAAATCCTAAAATATAGGTATGTGACCAAGGAAAAACCTAAATAGACGCTTTAGCTTTGCTTGCTTTTAATTGACTCTAAAATCACTAATTTTGCAGGTCCTGGAGCTGGGCACTACATTATTAGTCCCCTGGTGGCTTTGCTATAGATCACACGTCTGGCATGTGGGTTATGATGGTAATGGTTGCCTGGGTTACCCTTCGGGGACCTGAAGGTCACTTTTGCTGAAAACGCTGATTCTTCCCTTGGGTCCGAAGACATCCAGGGGTAGCAGGAGTGGGAGGGAGAGGCGTGGCATCTCTGTGTCCGTATTCTGTCTGTCTCTTGTGCTCCCATGTGACCTTTGGGTCAGGTTCTCCTCAGCCCTGCATGCAGACATGTTGATCATTCCGAGAACCATGATATAGGGCTAACCTGACCTTGGCTGGCCAAGTGTCTCCCTCTCCCCCATTCAAGGCCAAAGACACCTGCCGGCCAGCATGACCAGAAACACCCGACACAAAAGGAGGGAGAAAAGGTGGCACCCATGTTCCCAGAAGATCTTCACCTATTCCCAGAAAAGACATGACTGTGGCTCCCCTGTATGATTCACGTACCCCTCCACCTCCTGGCGTGGACAAGCTGATCTGTGAGCGGAGCTCCCTCCTTGCTTTCTTTGAACACGGAACAAAGCCTTTCATTCTCCCCAACATTCGACCCTCGACACTGTTTTTTCCCCATGGGCTGAGCCTCTAAAGGCTGGGTTCGGTAACAGGTGTACCTAGTATAAGTTTCCCATGGCTGCTGTAACAAATAGGCCCACATCCATTGACTCAAAACAGCAGGAATTTATCCTCCCACGGTGCAGGAGACCAGAAGTCCAAGGTCAGTATCACCAAGCTGAAATCCAGGCATCAGCAGGGCTGCGCTTCTGCTAGAGGGGATCCATGCTGGGACCCTTCCAGGTTCTCACGGCTGCCTGGTATTCCCTGGCTGGGGCCACATCAGTCCAACCTCTGCTTTTGGTGGCCACAGGGTCTCCTCCTTCATGTCGTTTCTTTTTGGGGTGCTGGGGACGGAACCCAGGAACTCAAGCATGCTCAGCACCTGCTCTACCACTGAACCCCAGCCCCTGGGGTTCTGAAGGTCAGCCCCAGCCCCTGCCTGTCTCTTAGAAGGACACACGATGGTATTTAGGGAGCCCTCAGACAACCCAGAGAAATCGCCCCATCTCAAGATTCTAAAGTGAATCCCGTCTGCAGAAGCCCTTTTTTGCTGTACAAAGGGACACTAACAGACTCCGGGGATTAGGAGATAAGCCCGTAGATATCTCTGGGTCATTTTTTTCAGCCTACCCCAATGAGCCACATAGGAGATGGGAGCTGCAGCCCTGGACCTTGTGAGGTCAGCTCTCTGACTGACTGACCAGTTGACCCAGTGGGGCAGGTAGAGTGACAGGTCCAGAGACCCCCATCAGCCTGACATCATGGGCCTTGTCAAACTGGGGCTCCCGAGCTGATGAGAGCTTCTCAAAGTGGTGGGTCTCTCAGAGGAGCAGACTGGAGACAGGAAACTAGGGAGAATTCTAGAGAGAAGGAAAGAAGGAGCACAGTACCATGAGCCAGGACTGAGTGGGGCCCCCTCCTTCTAGCCCTCCCACTAGACCTTCTAGATGCCTTTCGAAATCAAGGCTCATAGAGGTCAAGGCAAAATCTTCTGTGCAGCTTACCTCTGCATGACCACCCATCACATCACCAGCTTCACAGAGCTAGTGCTATCAGCTGCAAGTTACAGAGGGAGGCCACGTCTGCTCAGAGAGGTGAAGTGACTTACCCAAAGTCACGCAGCAGAATGTGGCAGAAGTGGGATGGATCGCTCTAGCGGACCCAACCAGCGTCCATTCTTGGTGCATTGGTATGTGAGTTAGTCTTAGAGGATGGATAGGAGTGGGGGCGGGGTATGGAAAAGGAATTAGATTCTGAGAATTGAATGGGATTCCTTCTGGATTCTGGAAGGAGGTGACTTGGGGGGGGGGGGGGGCTGATTTCTCTCCTTCTTGAGGGGTCCCAGAATAGACTCCACCAACACCCTGAGTCCTTTCAGAGCAAAGGCACTCAGTGAGGCTCATGCCTGCACCCCCGTGTGCAGGCAGAGTCATGCACACCTCCCTGCACACGGGGTTCCCAACAACAAGGAGATGCCACCCGCACTGTCACACACGCACACTGCCGGCTGCTTAGGGTAGAATTCTGGCACATCGAGGGCTCCGTTCCTTCTCAGCCCACGTCAGGAAGCCCCATCAATTCTACCTTCCAAACATGTTGGGAATTGGAATCTTCTCATACACCCCAGCCACTGAGCATGGAGAGGTCCTTATGATGCCTGGCTGGGCCAGGACAGCAGCACTGCCACACCCGCCTTCAGGCCCCTGTCCTGGTCCCAGGACTGTTTTCTTCACCAGCCGGTGGGTACCAGGAGTGCTCAAGGGGAGTCTCATCCCTCCTTGCATATTTCCCTCATTCAGTCAAAGCCAGGGTCTCACGATGGCCACCCAAACCCTCCCTGATACTCTCTGTCCTTGTTTCTTCCCCTCTCCACTTGCACAAGCCTTCTGGCTGCTCCTTGGACACTTCTACCTCAGGGCCTTTGCACTTGCTGTTCCTGCTACCAGGCATGCTCTTCCTCGGCTCTCCACGGGTCCAGCCCTCACCTCCCTCAGGTCTCTGTCCAAAGATCATCTTCTCTCATGGAACTAGCAAGCTGTTTCCTCACTCTCCCGCTGTCTTCCGTCCTCCCCCAAGACATTTGTCATCATCCACAGAGCCACTAGAATATTGGTTTCATGAGGACACAGAAGCCCATCTGTCTCCGTCACTGTCCCACCCCACCCAGCCCAGTGCCTGATGTCAATCCCTAAGGAGCCTGCGGAGTGGAGGGTGCTCCAAGACACAGTCACACACAAAGGGGCACAGACAGGGATGTGCGGGGCAGTAGGTGGCCCTTGCCTGCCTGGCCACACAGGACTTCGAGGCCCAGGGGGACGTGTGCACAGCCACATTTGCACACACACAAGAGGACTGAAGGTGCCCTTGGCCTGGCCATGTGGGCAGCAGGTGCCTGGGCAGCTGGAATCTATGTCACCTTTGGAAGCTGCAAACTGAGCCCCAGCTGTAGCTGCTGATGCCCCAGATGGGCCCAGAGGGTGAATCTCGCCACTTCTCCAGAGACGGGACGAGTTTGTAGCCCAACCTCCACGTGCAGAAAACTGAGAGCATCCACGGCCTCCAAAAGGCCAGCACGGGACACCCGTCCAGCTGGACTCCAGTTCCTCTCTCCCTCCTGTCTCCCCTCCCCTGACCCATCACGACCCCGGGGACAACCACCCTATGGAGCAGAAAGGGAGACTGAGGCAGGAGACTGAGCCAGATACCCCATTAAAGCAGAAGCAGGTGGACAAGGTGCCCTGTCCAGCCCCACCCTGGCTGTGGTCACTTCCAAATAGTCTGACCCAGCCCACGAGGGGACCTCCGGCTCCCCCCAGATCACATGCAATGAACAGCTGCCACGCACCACCCCCTCCAGCCCGCCCCTCCAGCCGGCTTATCACCGATGACTCTCCCGACAGGGATCGATAGAAAACCTTTTATCTCCTTCCCCGGTGGCAGCTCAGACTCAGGCCTCAGAACAGAGCCGGCTCCTGTTACTATGGTGACCCTCCCAGTCCTCACTGCCTCCCTCCCTCCCTCCCTCCCCACCCTCCCCTGCTCCTCCCCCTCCCCCGTCCTCCCTCCCTTCCCCACCCTCCTCCTTCTCCTGTCCCCCATTCCCTCCCCTCCTCCTTTACTCCCTCCCCTCCCCACCCTGTACCCCCACCCCCATGCTGCCCCAATTCCCCCACCCTCTCTGCACCCCTACTTCACAGCCCACCCATGCTGCCCAGCGGAGGGACACGGTCTGTACACCTACCTGCTGGTGGCTGGTGGCTGGTTCTAGACTAAGAGGGAATGGCCAGGGGCCACTCAGACCCCAGCAGCTCGCAGTGACCTTACCAGCCCTCGGCTCCCAGTCACCCGCAGCTCCAGTGCCCAACGCCAGCTTCCTGCCCAGTTGTACCTCAATGTTCAGGAGTTACTCACTGTGCTATCACAAGACTGCTCCTCCTTAGAGACTGGTGACAGTACCGCCCCTACCTGTCAAGCACAGAGCACAGGCACAGAGCTTGGCTTAGGGCCCTTGCTCAAGAAATACCGGTCACTGTTAATAAACCTCAGTCTTGGGGCTGGGGATGTGGCTCAAGGGGTAGTGTGCTCGCCTGGCATGCGTGAGGCTCTGGGTTCGATCCTCAGCACCCCATAAAAAAATAAAGATATTGTGTCCACCTAAAACTAAAAAATAAAATATTTTTTAAAAAAGGGAGGATAGATCCTTAATTAAAAAAATAATGGGCTGGGGTTGTGGCTCAGTGGTAGCGTGCTCACCTAAGCATGCATGAGGCTCTGGGTTCGATCCTCAGCACCATATCGATGTAAAATAAGGATATTGTGTCCATCTAAAACCTAAGAATAAATATTAAAAAATAAAATAAACCTCACTCTGTGGTTTATTAGGTATATATTTATTTGGCTTATTTATCATATTTATAGTATATTTCATTTGTATAGCATATTTGTATTCATATATTATATTTATAATATAATAGCATTTATAGTCTATTGTATTTGTTATATTTATAGAATGGGCATATGAAGGATTGTGGAACCTAAAGATTAAATGAGAAACAGACACAAATAGTTAGACCCATTGCCTGGAGCCTTCGAAACACTGTAGTCACAGGAAAGACCATCATCAGATCCCTAGTGACCCACCAGTCTCCTTTTTTTGCTTTATTCTTTGAGGGAGTGCAGGGGTGCAGAGGGAGAAGGAGGAGCAGGTGACCCACCTACCCTCCATGGCCATGAGCATTGGCCTCCTGTGTGCTGGCCATGGACAGCGATGTCCCGTGGGGGTCCAAGTCCCCTGTCCCCTCTCTCCCTCCACAACCTGCTATTGGACCTCTGTCCCACAGTACCCTTGCTTTCCCACCCGGGGCTTGGGCTACCCTGTACCTTATGTCTGGGAGACCCCAAATAAATGTTTCCTCCTCGAAGTTGTTCTCGTCACGTATTTTAGTCACAGAAAACAGGGTCCTAAGCGCAATCCTAAGGGTCCTTGTAAGAGGACACACATGTGCGATGGGAATAAAAGAGGTGGCCAGGAAGTGAGTGGGGGCTCTGGAGCCCAGGACCGCAAGGGCCACAGTCTGTGAAAAGCAGCGTCAGGGATTCTCCCCCAGGGCCTCCAGCAACAACAGCACTGCCCATGCTGGACTCGGACCCTGGACCTCCTGAACTCTAAGAGTGAACGTGTGCTGTTTTCAGCTACAAAGTCTTGGGTAACTAGAGCCACAGGAAACGTCCATCCTGCCCGGCCTCGGCTCCTGTCAGGAAGATGACACTGATACAGGACCCCTCCTCGCTGGAGTCTTAAGAAGCCTTGGTGACAGCAAAACTCTGGGAAAGTAAAGTAAAGTGCATAGAGTTGGAGGGTGGCTCAGCTGCGGGACACTGGCCCAGCCTGTGCAAGGCCCTGGGTTCCATCTCAGCACTGCAAAATAAATAAATAAAAATAAAAATAACCCCGAACAGAAAGGAAGGGAAATAGGTGGAACTCATTGGAAAACTGTTCTGCAAAAATGATTTGCCAAGACATACCAGAGAGTACAAAATGGAAGGCCAGTTGTCAGCCTGGGCACGGCCCTGGGTTCAGTATCAGAGAAAAAAGAAAAAAAAAATTGAAGAAGAAAGAAAAGAAAAGAAAAAAAGAGGATATGAAAGAGGATTCTGTGATCAGACCTGCATCCGCCACCGTCAGCTCAGGAATGAGACCTCCCCTTGCAGCCAAGCTCCTGGCCACAGGCCGTCCCCTGCTGGAGCCTTGCTCCAGGAGCAGGGTCCCAAGGGACACAGAGGTCTGCAGAGGTCTTTTCTAAACAGAGGGTGGAATGGCCATGCTTTGGGGCCCTACAGATTTTTATTGTTGTTGTTGTTGTTGTTATCACCAGTGTTGAAAATAAAAGCGCGTAGCTACTAATAAAGCATGTATTTTCTTTCCTTCTTTTGTTAATACTAGAAAAGTCTTACAAAAGCAATCCCCAAACAGCTTTTCATCTTGCTTCTCTAAAGGCAATTTCACCCCCCTCCCAGAGTCCCCAAGCCTCTCCCAGCTCCGGGTGCCCAGCCCTGGCACCGACTGGCTCTGCCCGCCCCCACTTCTGGATGGTCATGATGAAGACCAGAGAAGGTGGCTCAAGCACTTTCTACATTCCTCGGCATCCAGTAAGTGCTCAATCTTAGTGCTTAGCAGTGGTTGTCATTGTCATTATTGTCTCAGGAAGTGTCTCAGTGCCTCACACATGCCAGGGAAGTGTGCTACCGCTGAGCCCCAGCCCCAGCCCCAGCCCATGAGATCTTTTTGATTTTTCCCTTTGGACCTCAAACCCAGCTCCCTCAGCAACTGTTTCCTTCCAGAACATCACTCCTGGATTTGTCCCCCCACCCCATTCCTTGATGCCCCCCAAATCACGCCTGGCTCACGCACGCCCTTCCTCGCTCCATCCCTGCAGAATGACTTACAGAGCTCTCCTTAGGCCTCTTCTCCCACTCCTCTGCCCAAAGTGCCCTTCCCTCACTGTTCAGTTGGCCTGCTCCCTCTGCACCCTTGCTCAGGTGGGCTCCTCCTGAATGCCCCCAGACCTCCTCAGGTGATCAGGTCTGGCTTCCTTGGCAATGCACCCAGAAGCACCTTAACGTTCATTCCTCTGAGAGTCATTATTCTTCATGAGTTTGTCTTGCTTCCGGTAGCAAATTTCCTGAGGGCGGGAATGCTTTTATTTTTGCTATTGGTAATAACAAAAAAAAAATCTGGGGTTCCATCCCCAGGACCAGGAGGGGAAAGGGAGGAGGCAGGGGAGGAGGGGGAGGAGGAGAAGGAGAAGAAGGAGGAGCCCCAGAGATGGGGAGCTTACTTTGCTCTCTCTCTTGAGGGAGCCCAGCTGCGTCCTTCAGATCTTTAGAATCAGGGGTCACAATCCTCTTCCCTTCATTTCGATTTTTTTTTAAATTAATGAATTAGTTATGGGGTTTGCTTTGTATTGAGGATGGTGCTATGGATCAAACCCGGTGCTCTGGACCTGCAAGGCAAGCACTCTACCACTGAGCACTCTACTCATTGTTAGGCAAAAATGATTTGCCAAGACATACCAGAAAGTGCAAAATGGAAAGTCAGTTGTCAGTCTGTGCATGGCCCTGGGTCCAGCATCGGCCAGATTTTTCTTCCCCAGGTAAAATGGTCTCAGTTCTCTTTGGGGGCAAGCTACCGAAAAACCAAAGAAATCTGGTTTACACCAAAAGGTGAGTGCATGAATTTGTATAACTGAAAAGTCCAGGGGGTTTTGAGCTTCAGGCATAGCTGAATCCAGGTACCCTCAGTGTATCTCTCCACCTGCTTCTCTCCATGTGGCTTTATTCTCAGATCCACAGCTGACCATCTTACGAACTCCTAGAGGTTCCAGCAAAGTTCAGTGGTTCCAGCAAAACTTCCAAAAGGCTTGGGTCATGTTGGCTGTCCCTGAACCAATCACTGTGGCTGAAAAATGGAAGCAGTCTGACTGGCCAAACTAGTCATATGTGTGTCCCTGAGGTCCTTCAACCCAGCCTGAACCCCATGGGCTGAAAGTGGGAGAGAAGTGTCCCCACAGGAAAATGGCCGTATTAGGTAGGACACAGTTAATACAGAGATCCACGGGAACATTGGCTTCAACGGGATGGAATGTTATCTTCCCTAAGGTAATTCCAAATGTTAAGATCTCCTGAAGTGATACAGTTAATCCTGGTCATCAGGGTCCCCATTGCTGGGCATTTGTTATCTGAGATGGACGCGAACATGGTTAAAACTAAGAGCATGTGTTCTACTGTTATGGCCATTCACCAACTTAGTCCCCCCTCAGCCATCTTTCCCGGCTCAGCACCAGTATCTCTGCCATCAGTTTCCTTTCTGTCTGTCAGCCTTGTTCATGCAAATGACTGACAAAGGAAATCTTCAAGTCTTGCCAAAATTTGCAGGAATCCATGAAGTTTGAGCCTGGCCTAGTGGCACACACCTGGAATCCCATCCAGTGGGGAGGCTGAGGCAGGAAGATCACAAGTTCGAGGCCAGCTTGAGCAACTTAGCAAGACCCTGTCTCAAGATAAAAATTTAAAAAGGGCTGGGGTTATATAGTTCAGTAGTAGAGCACCCTGGGTTCCATCTGCAGTAACACACACACACATACACACACACACACACACCAAAAAAAAAAAAGAACCAAAAGAAAATGATTTGAGTGTCAGAGAGCTCATAGAGGCCCAAAGAACCCAGGAAGATAGAATGAAGTCTTTGAGTTAAGTTAGGACCTGGGGAGGGCTGAGTAAGGATCATTAGGCAATTTTGAGGGGAAAAACAACTTTTGCATTCTAAGTATCAGCCCATGATTCTTAAGAATTAACACACAAGCCTAAATTTAGTTGCTTGAAAGAAAAATTTGTGTATTTCAGAGCTTTAATTTCATTTTTTAGTTGTAGTTGGACCTTTATTTTATTTATTTTTATGTGGTGCAGAGGATCGAATCCAGGGTCTCGCACGTGCTAGGCGAGCGCTCTACCGCTGAGCTACAACCCCAGCCCCTTTAATTTCATTTTTCAAAAAAAAAAAAAAGTTAAATTAACCCCACCCCAATGACTAAGAAACATTGGTTGTCAGGGCAAGGGTATTCGTGGTCAGAGCGGTCTTTGATTTTTGCTTCGTTTGTTTGTTTTGAGATGGAGTCTGGCTATGTTGCTCAGGCCGGCCTCAAACTACTGGGGTTCCGGTGCCCCTCCTGTCTTACTCTCCCGTGTGGCTGGAACTACCAGCACATGCCACCACACCTGGCTCAAAGTGACCTCTTTCTCTAGAGAGGGTTTGATATCTGTCTCACTTGCCAGGCTGTGGTGCTGTGTCACGGGGTCTGTATCACCTTATTGCTAAAGATGGGACCTACAACAGGGTGGCTCAAAAATTGCATGTAAGGCTCTGTGTGTAACTCACTGATAAAGCACTTGCCTAGGCCATGTGAGATAGAGCTAGGAAACGTTTCCCTCTGAAACTGACTAAGCAGAGTCCGGGTTCATAATTGGGTTCATTCCAAGAACAAATAAATAAATAAACAAACAACAAATGAGTAAATGGATGCGTGGGTGGGTGGATGCATGGGCCTTGGAGGATCCTAGGGCCCCTGGTCTGGGACCCCTTATGGGCATCCCAGGAACTGGACAGGATCCCCAACTCCCTCTATGTTGCTCCAACTCACCTGGAGCAAAGCAGGACTGTCACCTCCTCACCCTCTCCTCTCTGCTGAAGGAAAGTCAGAGGCCTCATGAGTCTGAGGCCCAAGGGGCTCTTCTTGCTTGGCTCCCTTATCACTGTCCCCACCCCTGAAATGAGCTGCTACAGGGCCCTGAGCAGTCACAATCCTTGGGAAGAAACAGCTTGGCCTTCATCTGAGAGTAGTAGAGTCCAGTTTGTGGGGGGAAGAGCAGTTATGGTTGGTCTTACAGAACTGTTGCAGGGTTCTGTGACACACACCTGTAATCCCAGGGAATTTGGAAGCTGAGGCAGGAGGATCACAAGTTGGAGGCCAGCTGGTTCAACGACCCTGTCTTCAAAATACAAAAGAAAAAGGGTGAGGAGGTAGCTCAGTGGGACAAGTGCCCCTGGGTCCCATCCCCAGGAATGCAAACACACAACAGCATTACAGCGAGCGTTGAAGTGTTTTGAAATAACCCGAGAGTGGGCACTGTTACACTCCCCAAGTGAGAAACCAGAGGCTCAGGGAGGGGGACGGGAGGGGAGGTGCCCAGGACATGCTGTGGGCAAGTGGCAGAGCCAGGAAAAGAATTTCCCTCTGATTTTCATCTCCTCCCTCTGAAACTGACGAAGCAGAGTCTGGCAGCTTGGCGCACAGAGGCCACCAATTCTGAGAGGGGGGTTCTTCCCCGCTCTGAGCCCCTATTTTCTCCTCTGTAAAGTGGAGGCAATAAAACGGAAATACACACAGCCAAATAGATTCTGGCTACACGCTGGTTAGTGGGAGTCTTCCTGAACATCCCACGCTCTGCCAGGGCTGTCAAGAGCAGCCCAGAACCTCCATCCGGGAGCTTGTGTCCCAGGGGAAGGGGACAGCAGCATAGGTGTAGTCACTTGCCCAAGATCAGGCTGAGAGAATCCCTGTTCCAGGTACAAGTGTGTGATATATATTTTTTTCTTTTTTCCTTTGATGCTGGAGTTTGAACTCAGAACCTTGCATATGATAGGCACGTGCTCTATCACTGAGCTACATACCTAGCTCTTTTTTTAAAAAAATTTGAGCCAGGATCTTCCTAAGTTGCCCAGACTGACCTTGGGGATACTCCTGCCTCAGTCTCCCCAATCGCTGGGATCAGGCATGCACCACTTTGCCAGGCTCAAGGGTAAGATCTTGGGCAAGTTACTACACCTCCCTGCATCTGTGACCTTGTCTAGCAAGGGGGGCTACTGTAGCAGGAATGTCTGCCTCCTGAGGAAGCCAGCTTGGAGAAGAATTGGCTGCAATATTTGCCCTTTGCATTCTACTGAGCAGTCGGTGATAAATCTAGTTCCTATCTTTAGATAGATCCCCTTCCCTTCCTGCGTGACAGCTGTCTCTCTCTCCCCTCCAGGCAGGAAACATTACCTCCATTTGACCCTACCTCCATTTGACCCTCATGAAAACGGAGGGGAAGTTCAAGGCCACACAGGTGCAAAGCTGGTCTTAAGATCCCTGGGGGAGATGTCTCAAACTCAAATGCCTTGGGGGAAGGGGGAATTGGCCAGGTGACTTAAATGTGGGTCTAGAACAATAGGGAGAGGTAGGGTCCCCAAGAATTTAAATTCCTTGAAGGTATCTCAACTCCAACATTTTTTGCACTTTTTCTTTTTTTTTTTTTTTTTCTGGTTACGGGGGCTTGAACTCAGGTGGCAAACCAAGTTATACCACTGAGCTATATTCCTAGTTCTTTTTCTTTTTTTATTTTGGGACAGGGTCTCAGTACATTTCTCCTGCTGGCCTCAAACCTGAGATCCTCTGGCCTCTGGCCTCCTGAGTTGCTGGGATTATAGGCACCCCACCCCCACCCCATCCCGCACCTGGCCAAGGTTTTCACTTTTTGTTCTGCTTTCCAATCAAAATAAACCCAGGGGACTGGGGGTGTCGCTCAGAGGTAGAGTGCTTGGCTAGCCTGCTCTGGAAGCCCTGGGTCCCGTCCTCAGCACCATAAAACAAAACACAGCCTGGATTCGACCTTGGGACCTCTGCAGAGAGGCTGTCTTTACTGTCTTTATGGTGCACAGTGTGCCCACCCCCACTCGCCCTCCTACCTGCATCCAACTAAGGATGACAAGCAGGTTCTCAGCAGCAGAAGTCTCCTGGGGCCAGCTCTGCTGACAGTGATCCCTGATAAGTTCCTGGTTCTCTTCCAAGAAGCCTGCCCCATCCTCAGCCTGAACATCATTCAGAGCAGTCTCAGACGGTTAGGTCCACGGCCACCCTGCTCTGCCTACGTTCAGAAGCCCCTCTCCCCACCCCAGCCAAAGCAAGCAGGGGGGAAAGTCATTCTTAAGAGCTCAGCCCCCAGATCACCTCCTCCCCCGAGTGCCTGTGCACTATGGCGCTTTGCACAGGTAACTTTCACACTGCAAGTCAGAATCGACCTCAGAGTCTGACCTGAAGTGGGAACTCCACAAACATATGCATGAAATGGGGGGCTTTGGATGAGTCCTTCAGCTCTCTCAGCCTCTTTTTTTGTTTGTTTTAATATCAGGGATTGAACCCAGGGGTGCTTAACCACTGAGCCACAACCCCAGGCCTTTTTTTTCTTATCTTTTATTTTGAAACAGGATCTCATTAAATTGCTAGGAGCCTTGCTAAATGGCTGAGGCCGGCTTTGAACTTGTGATCCTCCTGTCTCAGCCTCCCGAGTCGCTGGGATTACAGGTGTGCGCCACTGGGCTGGGCTTTTTTTTTTTGAGATGAGGGTCTTGCTCTGATCCTACTGCCTCAGTTTCCCAAATCGCCAGGACTATAGGTGTATGCTACCATGCCCAACTTAGGCCTCTATTTTCTTAACTGTGAAATGAGTTGGGAGGAGGGAGGATTCAGAGAATGCATGATGTGGTAAGCTCGTAAGGATACCCAGTTCCAGTTACTTGGGAAGCTGAGGCAGGAGGATTGCAAGTTGAGGGCCATCCTCTGAAACTTCCAAAAAAAATAACTTTTTTTTAAAAGAATGTAATTCAGGAAGGGCATCACTGGGTTCAATCCCTAATACTACATCTAAATTAAGTGAAACAAACAAATAAGTGAACAACAAAAATCTCAACCGAAGATATCTGGCTCCTAACCTCTGGAATCTGTCAATGTTCTCTTATTTTTAGCTGTGACGAGGGACACATTTGTTTTCTTGCCTTTTCTTGCTTCTAGAGGTCACCAAGGGGTCATCAAGAGGTCATCAAGAAATACAGGCAGCCTCCAGAAGCAAAGGCAAGCCTTCATTTCTCAGCCACACTGGAGGCTGAGGCAAGGAGATCAAAAGTTCTAGACCAGCCTGGGCTGGTCGCCACAGCCTCTGGAACAAGCCAGACTGTTGCCACAGCCTCTAGAACAAGCCAGCCCCCCTAGCACCCAGACTACACCCAATGAAGCTGGTTGTGGAATTTGGTCCTCAGAATTGCCAAGAACAGATTTATGATATTTGACTCCACTAAATTTGTGATTTGTGCAACATCCCTAGAAAACCTATCTACATGGGAAGCACCTGGTACTCAGTAGGTGCTTAAACGTGGCAGTTGCTAATAATTGGACCACACATAACCTCCTTTTTTTCATTGGCCTCCATGTCCCTTTCTCCTTTGTGCATGAGATTTTGTCCTTTGGGGACACTCTTCTGAACCCGGTGCTCCCTTCTCTGCCAACCTTGAAGGCTTGGCTCAAATACCACCTCCTCCAAGTCCTTTGTTAACATCTAGGAAAGCGTCCTCAAACAGGGCCTGAGCTATGGCCCTCAAAGAAGCCAGGCAGTGTGTGGTTTTTTATTTTTATTTTTCTTTGTATCAGGTATGCTCTACCACTGAGCCACATCCTTGCTTTTTTTTTTTTTTTTTTAATTTTACCTTGAGACAGGTAAAATTAAAGTTCCAGGCTGGCCTGGAACTTTCAATCCCCTTGTCTCAGCCTCCAGTGTTGCTGGGAATACAGGTAAGGCACCACCATGTTGGGCTCTATGATCCTCTTTTTTTTTTTAACTGAGCCCTGAGGAGGGGAGCTGGCATCCTCAATTTCATGCATTTGATGCTGAGAAATGAAAAACATACATGGTAGAGCGCTTGCCTAGCATGTGCAAGGCCCTGGATTTGATCCCCAATGAAAGAAAGAAAGAGCTAGAGAGAGAAAGAAAACCTTGTAGTCCCAGGTACTCAGAAGGTGAGGCAGAAGGAGTGCTGGAGCCCAGGAGTTTGAGACCAATCTGGGCAACAATGTGAGTTCCCACTGTTACCCAGCTGGGCACAACGCAGCTAGATTTAGAAGCCAGATCTGTCTCCCCCAGAATGTGTGCAGAAAACAAGACAATCCACATTGTGATCTCCCTGGGACCTGGGTGGCTGAGCCTGGTGGAGAGCTGTTACTCGGTTCCTATGGCTGGAAAACCTAGACAGGTGACTTCACCCATCCACACCATTTCCTCATTCACAGGATGAGATAACTGAGGTCTGAGACTTGTCCCAGATCACCCCGGCGGGGGCGGGGAGCTCTGATGCCTCCACTTCTAGCAAAGGACAAATGGAACAGGTTTTCTCTGGGACCCTTGATCAAGTCTGCCCAAGGGGCTGGGTGTGGCGGGAGGCTTTCCTCCTAGGTGGAGGTGGGCTCCACGGAGGTGACATGAATAAAAGCATTGGAGCCACAATGGCTCAGGGGATCTATAAGTTAATCGGTTCATTCCTAGACTCATTCAACATTCTTCCGCTTAAAACCTGCCAATGGCTTCTTTGCCACTCGCAAACAATTTCACACCAGGTCCTTTACAGCCCTGCAGGCCCTGGCCCTCCATTAAGGTCTGAATTCCACTTCTTGTCCCCTACTCACCAAACCTAGTCCTGCCTCAGATCTTCTTGCTGTTCCTTCTGCAAAGAACGCTCTTCCCCCAGCCTCTACCCATGGCAGCTGCTTGCTGCTGTTCAGTTCTTCGCTCAGACGGGGCCTCTCCCAGCTAAGTAGTAGCCCTTATCCATCACTTCACCTGCTCATTTTCTTCCTAGCACTTACTGCTCTCTAACAATTATATTTCTTTCTTTGGTACGGGAATTGAACCCAGGGGCACTTTACCACTGAGATACCTCCCCAGCCGACCTCCCCTTTTGAAATGGCCCCGGCTGGCCTCAAACTTGCTATCCTCCTGCCTCAGCCTCCTGAGTCGCTGGGATTACAGGTAGCGTCACCATACCGGGTTTAAAATTATCTTCTTTATGTGTCTAAACATTGGTTGCTGCTTGTCTCTCCTCATTGGGATTCCAGCTCCATGGTAGTAGGGAGCACACTGTTTCTACTGATTCCTCAGTACCCAGAAGATCCCAGGTGCCCAGCAAATAAAGAAAATTATGTCTGATCTATGGAGTTTTGAGGAGTGTTTCTCAACTATAAAGAAATGGTCACAGGTGAGGGTTGGTGGTGGGGTGGCCTGAGAATGGAAGGATATGAGTCCAAATCCTCGGCTCTACCCTGACCCCTTTCCCGTGGCATCCCCAGGTCTGATTTCGAGCCTGAGGGTCGTTGGGACCACATTGCAAATCCCCCTCCCCCTAGATCAGGGGTGGGGTGGCGGGGGTGCGGTGGGGCGGTGGGGCGCGCAGTGGGTCACGCGGACCGCCAGGGGGTGCTGTTGGGGCGCACACGACCCACCTGGCGCCCGGGTCCGCGAGCGAGCGCAGCCAGGCCGCCCGGGAACTTTTTTCCTCGCGCTCTCGCTCTCCTGCTCCCCCCGCGCGCCGTCCGCCCGCCCGCTCGCCCGCCCGCTCTTCCTGTGCGGAGGGGATCGCATTTCCCCGCGGCACCCGCGGACACCAGGCAGGCCCGGCCGGGTGCGCGGCCAGGGCCCGCTCCCCGCGCCGCCGGCTCCCTGCGCCCCCGGGCGCCGCCCCCGCCCGCGGCTGGGCTCCGAGAGGCGACTTGGAGCGCTAGAGGCGAGCCGAGCAGGCCGCCCTGCCCGCGGCCCGAGAGCCGGCGCGAGGAGGGGGCGCCGCGGCCCACCCTCCGTCCTGCCTGGCCGCGGGCCGGCCGGGCCAACGCGCCCTGACCCCCCCATGGCCACCCGGGTCTCCGGGCCGCGAAGTCGCAGCGCCAGACGCAGGGCCCCGAAGTGAGCGCGGGCGCCGAGGTGAGCAGCTTGCGCCCGGACGCGGGAGGGGGGACGCTGCCCTGGGGCGAGGGCAGCGCGAGGCGTTGGGATTCCCGAGCCGGGTGAGGAGTCTGGGCGGGTTCGGGGACCGATTAAGCGCGCGGGTTGGCGATGCGGGGGTCCGCGGGGTCATTGCTTTGTGTGGCGTGGGGGGGTGCGCGAGGTCACCGGATGGCCGTCTGGGGAGCTGCAGGGTGGGGGCGCCCTGCGCCGCGGCGCAGGGTCTTCAGAAGGATTTGTGCGGCTGGCTGAGGTCGAGTGGTGGCAAGGGGACGCGGGGAGTGAGGGTCGAATGGGGCCGGGGGCTCTGCGTGCACCCAGGCACCGGGTGTTTGCCCAGCGTGGGGTGGGGATGTGGGGGTCAGTCACACAGCGCCAGGGGCGGAGGGGAGCTTTGTGAGTGCGTCCGGTGGGGGGCGGGGAGCTGACTTGTCGGTGAGTTCCACGCGGGTGGGAGCCGGGGCTGTGATGGCCGTGCGTGGCGAGATGGGGCGCGCACGGCTGTCCGCGACGTCCCCGCCCGGGCCTGTAAGCAGGCCCCGCGCCTGGGCAGGAAGCGGCCCCCACGACCTGGGGAGCTCGGTCGCGGCCAGGCCTCGAGCTCGGGGCCCCTTCGGGGGTGACGTCACGAGCGGGAGCACCGGACACGCGAGCACAGTGTCCCCTAGACTGCGTCGCGGCGGGTCGGGCCCGCAGCCCCACAGCCCCTTTCAAGTCTGAACCCCCCGCGCCTTTGGAGTCGGGAGACCGGGGCGGAGGACTTGGGGGCCAGCTGCGGCCGGGGCGGGCGAGGGGATGGCCGGACGCGGGGGTGACATTTGGAGCTTTGGTCCCACTGGGGCGTGCGAGGACGCGCCGAGGGGAAGCGAAACAGCAGCGGGGCCCGAGGTCGCTGCGGCCCCTGCTTCCTGGGGCGCCCGTTTTCCCAGCGAGCCTTTTCCCTTCTTGGGGCTCATGGTCCTTCTCGAAAAGACACGGGGGGGGGGCGGAGTGCGGGCCGGCGAGGTGCCCTCCTTCCGGGAGCCTCGGATTGCTGAGAGGAGCGGTGGGGCTCCGGCTCTGAATGGATAAAACCGAGTGTAACAATGCGCTATTGGGGGCCTGGGGGAGGGGAGGCTGCGCGCCTGAATGGCGGACCCGGGGCCGGCGCTTCCCAGCACGCCGCACTCCCTCCCGCAGCGCCTTCTCGGTGGCTTCAGCGGGCCTTGATGCAAGGACCCACGCGGGACCTGCGCGGTTCCCTCCCACCCAAAGCGCATCCCCCTCACCCCCCTTTATTTCTTGTCCAACGCAGTGTTGTATTGAGAATTCAAGGGCATTACATCTGGTTGCAATCCAGTTTCATGCCGCTGCCGGGCTGTTAAGTCCTCGCACTGACGTCAGAGCAGGGGAATTACTTCTTTTTATTTCATCTTTTTTTAGTTGTCTGTTGTCCTGGGAGGGGAGGTGGGGGTGGGCTGGGTAGCTCTGATGTAGAGATGCCAGCGCGTTGGAAACCTTGGGCTGGGGGTTCTGCTTCTCTTTCTGCCTGCTCCCCCACCCATTCTCATACAGACCTCGTTTCTGCTCCGGGTCAGGCCCACTCCGGGTGGGGACAGACCCAGTGGAGGCCCCTCCCGACACAAACACAGCTGCGTTTCCATAGGCTTCCCTGGGATGTGGCCCTCAAGATCTGGAGGCTGGAGAGGAATCTTCTAGTTTCCCACCCTTCCCCTCTTGACAGCCCAGAGGGTATATGAGGCCTGTCTAGTCTCAAGGCAGCCTCAATCAGAATCTGGCAAAAGCTCTCAGTCAGAGGCTTGGAGAGGAGGAGTGTCTCAGGGCGCCATCCAGGTTCCAGAAGCCAACTGTGGACTGGACAAAATGTGACCTTCCCCAGCAGCCACACATCCCTCAGGCTTCTGCTGAGAGGGAACTCAGCTGCTCCACGACCATCTTTACTCCCCTTGGACCATGAGGCTTTTGCATGCTGGGCGCCCTGTCTTCCTCCTTTGTAGATCTTCAAGCCTAGACCAATGTATTTAAGATCCTGCCGTGACCTATTGTGTGAAATACATCTGAGGTCGTAGGGCCAGTCACACCCACAGCATATAACGGAAACAAAAGTTTAGTGAATAACCCCTCTGCTATGTGTGCCTGTCTCTGATACCTTCTGCTCTTGTCTTTTGATTAAAAAAAATTACTGGTTGCAACCCACTAAGTCAGCGATTTCACAATCCACGAATGGGTCATCCATCAGTAAAAAAAAATAAAAAATAAAAAACAGGCCTAGAATGTGGATCTGCCACATATTCATTCAACAAACAGCAATGGAGACCCTAACAATTGTTTTCTCTTTTTCCATTGCTCCAATAACATTTTTCACAATAAATCCTTATTGTGAAAAATACAAATAATCCAGAAGTATATAGAGCAAAAGACCTCTTGGCACAGGTTAACTCCAGTTAAGAGTTTGAATGTATCCTTCCATACTTTTTGTAACTCGCCTAATGTACTAGTGTTTCCTACGTACAAATATATAGTTTTATTTTTCTCCAAATGAGAACATACCACGAGCTCGTATTCTGCAACTTCCTTTTTCCTTTCTGATTGTCTGGGAGGAGTTGTGGGGTGAGGTGCTTCAGAGTGAAGCTCTGGGTCACCTCCTGGCTCAACCACATACAGAAGTTATTTACTTTCTCTGGGCCTCTGTGTCCCCATCTGTACGGTGGGAAAAAAATCACAGTGCTGATCTCACAGGACCAAAGCGAAGACTGAACGGATTAATCTCTAAAGTTTAGACTGAAGCCTCTCCCAATAAATGCTGGTTGCTACTACCTACATTATCATTGTCTTCATTACTGTTCTGTGTCTGTGGTGGCCCAGGTTTGTACCTCTTGCCTTGTACCAGCTGCTTGAGCTGTGGCATGGCTGTCTTTTTGTGGCTCCCCAGGGAGGAGGAGGTGACTGCAAGGGGAAATCAGGTACACAGAGCAGGGTCTCAATGGGACCAGGCACCTGGATGCCAAGCCCCAGCGGATGGAGCAGGGACTCACTGTTTTCGAAGCCCTGTGTTAAATGTCAGGGTTCAGGATGAAGCATCCCTGCACCTGCCCCTGAGAAGGTCCCAGCCTAGTGGCTGATGATTGAGACCGAGAAAACAGCTGAATCTTTAGCTAGAGTTGAGGGGCTTTGTGCAGGTGGGGTTTCTTGGAAGGCAGAGCTATAGTCATTGACCCAGGCATGGAGAGGGAAGAAGAGAGGGACATTCCTGGCAGTGGGAATGCACTGAACATGTCTGGGAAGGCTGGGAGGTCCTACGTGGCCTGTGTGCTGTGGCCAAGAGGGGAGGACTTGGCTCCAAAAGAAGGGCGACTGGAGAGGCTGGCCTGTTGCCAGGGCCTCCTCTCTGGCCTCTCTGCCTCCGTCCTGCTCCTTCCCAGGTGCTGTTGGAGTGATCTTTCTGAACCGTAGCAGATACTTCCAGGGGCCCTTGCTGCCTCTGGAGGGAGGGCTCTGTCCTCATCCCTACCCACCCTCCCTTCAAGGGGCAGTCATGTGCATGCCTGCCTCTGTGCAGAGTGCTGACCCTTCCTTCCACCTGGATGCCCTTCGTCCTCCTCCCTGCCTCCCAAGACCCAAACAGATGTCCTGTTTCCTCCTCCTCTGACCTCCAAGGTGGGATGAGTCATCCCCCCTTTGTCTATCCCAGTGGCACAGCGTTTATCACGGCATTATTGGCAATTCTGTCAGTGTGTCCTCCCCACGAGGCGGGAGCATCTAGGCCTGAAAGCAAGTCTCCTTCCTCCCTGGCCCAGCGCCAAGAGCGAGGCCTAGATACTCAGAAAGGCTTCCTGGCAGAAGGGCCAGGTGAGCTGGAGAGGGTGAGAATCTTCCAGGTGGCCCTTTGATCCTGAGCAGGGGCCTGAAGATCTATGTGAATTCTGTGCTGTCACGCTGTCGAGGGGAGGGGAGGGGAGGGGCCGGGGTGAAGAGAGGTGGGCCAGCTCCCCCCAGGCCGCTCCCCAAGGGGGCTGGGAGAAACTGGCTCATCCTGTTTCTCCGGGGATTGAGGCTGAGCTGTGCCCTGTTCCTGGTGGGTCACTGCAGATCCAAGGTTGGAATGTGACACCAGGGGAGGCAGGGCTAGAGGTGCAGGTTGGGGCCTGGCTGGCAAAGGGCAGATTTGGCTCTACTGGTTCGTGAACCCGTTTGAAAAGTGTGTATGTGGTGGTGGTGGTGAGAGAGATGGGTGAGGGAGAGAGACAGGGCAGAAAAGAAAAACCTGGGGGCAGAGAGACAGGAGGGGGGAGAGGAGGGCAGCTTGGTGGGGGGGGGGTTGTGCAAAGAGGAGAGAGAGCTGGAAATGGTGGGGGAGACACCAAAAGAGGGGGAGATGTTCTTGTTGCAGATTAATCTGTCTAAAATCAGGAGATCCAGGCACCGTGGTGCACGCCTGTAATCCCAGCAGCTCTGGAGTCTGAGAGGCAAGTTCAAGGCCATCCTGGGCAAACCTAGCAAGACCCTGTCTCAAAATAAAAAATAAGAAGTGAGGACTGGGGATGTAGCCCAGTGGTAAAGCACCCTTGGATGCAATCTGCTACACACACACACACACACACACAGAAATCCAGGGTGAAAACAGCCAGGTGCACCAGGATTTAGGGTTCAGGTGATACTGGACGTTTTTGTTCACTCATCCGTTTGTTCGTTCAGCAGCCATTCCTGTGCTCACACTGGGCCCATGTCTGAGCAAGCTTGTGGTCCAAATTTTAAGGCCCTCTGTGGCTAAACGCTGGGTGGGCAACACACATCCAGCTTCTCTACAGAGTGGTCTGACTTGGAGGTGTGGGTCATCGAGGATGCCTTGGAGAGGCAGGGGAGAGTCCTGTGAGAAGGGAATCGAGGCACTGGGGCCTAGGATGAGGCTGGTGGGAGCCATTTGGTTAGGAGCTGTGGGGTGGGCAGTCAGGGCTGGTCAGGGCATCTCCCCACTGTCCTCTATACCCAGGTAGTGTGGGCTGCTCTCAGACTAATGGTCTACTGGCCCAAACACCCACTTCTGGGATGGCCCTGATGGAACAGGGGTAGTAAACATTTGCAGTGCACCTCCAGGCCCCGGCTGGGGGCTCAAGGGAGGACGTGCAGAGGGGCTCAGCCCTTCTCCTGGGGTTCCTTTCCTGGAGACTGTGTCCATCTGCAGGGTGGGATAGAGTTGGGATAGGGCAACAAGCCCTAGATTTGGAATCAGGAAATAGTTGGAGTTCCAGCTGCTGCTTTGGACAAGCTAATTTTCCCTCTCTGAATACCAGTCTCCTCTTCTATCAAAAATGGGAACATGCATGTTGCAAACATTAAAAGTGGTGATGGTGTTGGTATATTTTGTGACTTGGAAAATGAGGAGGCCCTAGGCTTTGGGTCAAGCTGGCCTGGGTTCAAATGCCAGTACCACAGGTCTGTGGGGGGCTCCATTTCCCTCCCTTTAAAATGGTCATAATAATAGGCCTCTCCTAGTTGCTGATGCATAGCCCTCAGCTAGGCTGTTATTGTTGGGCTGTTATTTTTATTTTATTTTATTTGCAGTGCTGGGGATGGAACCCAGGGGCCCACGCATGCTAGGCAAGCGCTCCACCACTGAGCTGCAACCCCAGCCCTGAGCTGCTATTTTTATTGCAAAAGAACTTTGCAGGAGGAAGGAATTGCACTGATTATTCTCATCTCTAAATCTTACCTGCGGTAACACTGGCCAGAACGAGGGCTTTGGTGCTTGTTTCCCTGCTAGAGGTGGAGGCCGATGAGCTAAGTAGATCTTTGTGCACACCGGGCAGGTGAGAATCATTGGTTTTTCTGGTTAGAGTTTGTTTCCAAAGGGACTTTGTCCGAATGGTAGGAGTGGACCCCAAGAAAGCATCGAGCAACTCGGGACTTCAGTGGCAGGGTAGCCACTTATTCATTCTTGATTCATAAATCACATGCTGAGTGTTCAGTGTACACCAGGGTGGGGATTCAGCCAGGGATGATAATGCAGCTCTGACTGTCTGGGTGCAGATCCGGTTACTGATTAGCTTGAGCAAGTGAGTTATTTCCTTTACTCAGTTTCCTCATTTATAAAATGAGAGGAAGTGTCCATACCTTCCTGATAGGGATTGTTGGGAGAATTAACAGATCTTAGTTCCTACAAATAAAGTACAACAGTGTCTGGTACCTAGAAAGGGTTAGAACCAGGTTCTGTGGCACGTGTCTGTGATCCCATTGACTCCAGAGGCTGAGGCAGGAGGATTGCGAGTTTGAGGCAGTCCTTGGCAACCTAGTGAGATCCTGTCTCAAAATAAAATAAATAAATAAATAAAAAGGTCTGGGGATGTGGCTCAGTGGTAGAGCACCTCTGGGTTCCATCCCTAGTACCATTAAAAAAAAAAAAAAAAGGTGCTAGGAATGACTCCTCTTCATTGTTTTATTGCTACTCTGATCTCACAGAGCCGTGCCCCGGGAGGTTGGTTCTGGCCAAGCCTTCCCTGCCAGGGGTGGCACCAGGAGTGTCAGCCCCTCTATAAGGTCCCTGCTAAAGCAGCCTGATTCCCAGTTCCTAGACTCCTCGCTCATCCCTCCAGCCTTGGTCAGCCCCTCTGGGGTGACCTGGAGCTCCTGTCCTTTCACCTGTGAAGCCTGATGACTGGAAGGCCATGTGAGACTGCGTGCACCCAGAAAGGTCTAACCCTGCCTGGCAACAGGTGGCTGCAGACTTTAAGGAATTTCAGTATCCAGTGTCTAAGCTGGAAGTATCTTCTGATTGAGACATCCTCAGTTGCTAGAGGACACCAGATGGTCTTTGTGTGTCCTTAGGCAGGTCCCTCAAACTCTCTGAGCCCATGTCCTCATTTTTCAAATGATAAAAATGAGTATCTATTACACAGTTTTATTTTTAAGAGGATCAAATGAGATAGGGCCTCTAAAAACAGTTAGGCATAGTGCTTACTGTGGATACATAGTGGGGTGCTTAATCACTGTCACCTAATAGTAATAATAAGAATTCTCTAAAATGTAAAGGAAAAGCCACCTGAAAGATTTTTTTTTTTAAGGAACTCCTTGGAGATGTGAAATTCTGAACCCCCCTCTAGTTCAATAAGACAAAGAATAACTAGAGAGACATGGAGGCCCAGAGAAGCTTTGCAGAGTCACCTGGCAATCCAGGCTTCGGGTAGGGAAGTGGGGAAACTGTACTGACTTTCAGTCTGATGCTCTCTGACACTTGGTTATTCCTTTAGCATACAGTTATGAGTGGTCAGTGCCAGTACACAGAAGAGATAGCATGGGCCTATCTTCTGGGAGCTTCTGGTCTAATTGGAAAAGTGAAATTCGGACATGATTCTGATAGGAGTTAAAATGAAAATCACCTGTTCTGATAGACAGGGGTAGAGTCTTGCCTTCACTCATTCCAGGGAGCACTTTGCTCAGCTGTGGAACAGTGCTTCTCAATAGGAGGTGAGTTTGTCTCCCAGGGGACATCTGAGCCATGTCTGGAAACATTTTTGGTTGTCCTGACTGGGGAGGTGCTCCTGGCATCTAGTGGGTGACAGAAGCCAGGGATGCTGCTCAACATCCTACAGTGCACAGGACAGGCCCTACAGCAAATCATCTGACCCAAGATGTCCATGGAGCAAAGGGTTCAAAAAGCCCTACTTGGGGAGCTGGGTTGTGGCTCAGTGGTAAGCACATGTGAGGCCCTGGGTTCGATCCTCAGCACCACATAATAATAAATAAAATAAAAAGGTATTGTGTCCATCTACAAATAAAAATATGTATTTAAAAAAAAAAAAGAATCCCTACCTGGAGAAGCAATAATGGCCAGGCAGACCCTGAGCCCTTTAGAAGTGTCCAGTCTGGTAGGCAATCAGACATTACAGAAATATTGCATAGTAATCAACAGTTGCATGATTAATTATAATTGTGTTGTGGGCTAAGAAGGGAGAGTGCAGGAAGAGGGGTACAGGCCTCAGGGACCCAGGAAGCCACTCCAGAAGTGAGAAGTTAGAGGAGAGAGGAACATTCCCCACCTCTGGTTTGAGAGAACTACAATTCCCAGCATGCTGTGCTCTGGGGGACCAAGCAGAAGCTTGGTGGGTGGGTAGGAGGACCCTAGGCCTAGTGCTGCTTTGGGCCAGGGACCTGGCTTCTGCCCTTTGATTTGCCTCTCTCTGATAGGTGGGAGAGAAGCGAGAGAAAGAGAGAGAAAAGGAAGAACAATATTTTCATTTCAAACACAGGGATGGAGGAGGTAGGAAGGAATTTGGTTTATGATACCTTTGAGACAAGAACAGAAAATCCCCACCGTGGCCCGAAATAGCACTAAAAACAGAGGTTTTGCCAAATCAGACTTAATTGAGTCACTCTCTCTTCTTGAGTCCAGCAGGATGTGGATGGAGCTGGCTTTGTTCCCTGGGGGTGACACTGTCCCCTGGGGCCCCTGCCCTGGCAAATTTAACTGAAAGGCCTTGGTCTCCCAGGCAGTACAGGAGCCTGGGGAGCTCAGCTTGGCAGCCCACGGCCTCTGCCTCAGCTTTGCAGAGGGGTAGAGACGGTGGCAGGGGGATGTGTGGCAGCAAGGTCAGCTGGTCGAAGCAAAAGTGGGAGAGGCTTGGTTCCTCTAACAGATGAATGGTTGTCTCTTTCAATACCAGAAGACAGCATGGAGAAAAGCCATCATTTATTGAGTGCCTGCTGTGCTGTGCCAGGCATTGGGTGGTCCTCTCTAAACCTTATTAGAGGCTGTATATGGATTATCAAGGAAACTAAAGCTCAGAGAGGTTAAGTGACCCGCCCGAGGTCACATAGCAACTAAGTGAAAAACTAGGATTGGAGATCAAATCTATGGGGCTCCAAAGCTGTCCCTGTCTGCTATTCACTCCCTTCCTCATAGTAGTCATTCATCCATTAGGGAGATAATCACTGGCCAAGAAATAGGACTTAGCAGGTGGAAAGTTTTTAAGGCTTGGAGTCAGAAAGCCATAAGCTTGAATTATGACTGGCACTTTTTGTTCCTGTGGCTTTCCCACTTGGAGCCTCCTGTGTGTTTCCTCTTCCCTGGGTACAATCCTGCCTTCATTCTGGAGTGATTGCAAGGGTTAAACTTGGCATGGAAGGGGAAGAGGGAGGCCCCCCAGGAAGTGAGGACCTGCCCTGGGCCACCCAGCCTGGCAGGGTGTAATAAAAGCGCCCGAGTGGAGGGAGTCAGGCCAGATTGCCTATCTCTGTGCTGTATCAGTGTTGGGTTTCTTTATTTGAACGGGGAGAGAGGGCAGCCTGCAGGTAGAGAAGGTGGTGTGGAATGTGGGTGTTTATTTTTCTTGGTCTGTGAAAGGCCTGTTTCAGCTCAGCCTGACTATGTATGGCTTTCCAAATTACCCCAGTGGGTTCCCACATCTGCCACACTCTGGATGCAGGGGGATGGATCCAGGTATCTGCCCAGAGTGGCCACAGAGAGTGTACTTACCATGTGAGGCTCCCAGTGCAGCTTATGAGCCCTCACTCACTGCCCGGGACATCTGGGAGTCCCCCAAAAGGGTGAGGGGTGAATGAGAGCCATGAAACCCATGCATCATTCCTCTGCCTCCTCCAATGAGGCCCTCCTGGTCCCATTCATCTCCTTATCTCCTGGTAGCCTGTGGGTTGCTGGGAAGGCAAGGGCAGTCTTCCTGATTGACAAACAAAACAAGCCTTGCTCACAAAAGGAGAGGGGTGGCTGGCTGGGCCTCTCTGTTCCCCTCCCCCTGCCCCAGGCATCTCTCCTGCTCCACCCAGCTGGCACCCTACATTCTGAGACACAGTGAAGGGGCTCTAGAGCCATTGTTGTTGTTGATCAGGCCACCCAGGCTAGGAGCCCTTTGCACTGGGGAGGTGGATTCCAGGAAAGATGGGGTGGCCATGAGGCAGGGTTTGCTGCAATGGCCGCCCCTCCTTCCCTTCAGCTGGCTGGGAAGGCGGCTTGGAAAGGAAGCCCAGCCGGCAGGTAGTGGAGAAAGACATCAGATCCAGGGGGAGCAGCAGAGAAAGCAAACAAACAGGGCTTTGTGTGGCTGCAGATTGGCGGCTCAGAAGGGAAGCCAGGCCTGTGGTAGGCGGGAGGGGGGAGGAGGGGATAGACCAGGCCATTGCTCTGGGCCTGAGATAGGCGTCTGGACCAGCCCAGGCTGGGCAGGCAGGGAGCAGGGAGTGCCACTACGTGTGGACAGGCGTCTGGAGTCACAGCTTGGCGAGGCCTCAGCTCTGCTACTTCACTCCTGAACAGATCTGGGCTTGTTTGCCCACAGCAGGACTCTGGCAGGCCCAGTCAGTGTCAGCGGCTCCCATCCCAACCTCGCTCCCTGTTGTTGCTGGGAAGACACACGATTAAAAGGGAATCATGGTCTCCCTGCGGGGACTCCAGCCTTGCGGGGTCTCCTGGAAGGGCAGGACTTCAACGCAGAGCTGGGGGCACTTCGGGGGCTTTGACACGGGAGGCAGCCCTGCTGGGGGGGAAGCAGGTTCGCTGTGCAATTTCAGATGCGGGAGTTTGTGGGCAGAGGGCGGCCCCCAGCCCTGGGGAACCATTGTGGCACCCCGGAGCAGGCAGAACCCAAAGACGAGGGAGTGAGGGTGTCTTTGAGGGAGGGGTGTCACAGTTTGGATCCCGGTGAGGGCAGCCCCCAGCGCATCTCGCTGGGCACTGGGCGGGCCCGAGCGGGGGGGTGGGGGGGAAGGCTCCGATAGAAGCTGTCAGGCCAGACACGCAGGCAGCCCCGCGATAGCCGCCGGGGCCATTTCCTCTCCTCTCCCCGACCTCGAGAGGCGGCGGCGGGAGGGCACACGCCCGAGCTTCCTGTCCGCCCCACCCGCGACGCCCACCATCTTGATCGCGCCGGGGCCTCCTCGGAGGCGGCGGCGACAGCGGCTTCCGACGAACCCCGGCCGGAGCCGCGAAGCCCGGAGGGGCCCGGGAGCCCCGGGGCTCCGCGGCTGCGCGGGGGGCGGGGCGGGCGGGCCGCTCGCGTCGCCATGGCAGCGCCGGGCCCGGCATGCTCCGCGGCCCGGGGGTGGGGCCGCCGCGGCCCCGCCCCCTGCCGGAGCCGGGCCTCTTTCCGGGAACGCGGAGCCGGAGGCGGCGGCTCTAGGCCCTGAGCTGAGGCGGCGTTTGTGGGGCCGCCGTGTCGGGCACGCGCCTCTCCGGGCCTCCACGCCTCCTCCCCGGGTGTTTGGGGAGGAGAAGCAGGATCATGTGCAGGTTGGCCTCCTCGGAGAGCGGTTTCCGGAGGTCAGGAGACTGGAGAGGAAGAACACCCCACGCCCACCCCCGTGGAAAGTGGGGGCCACGCAGCCTCTCAGCTGCAGACCCTGGACCTCCAGCTCTGCCTTTCCCCTGGAACCGCCCGCGGGCCATTTAGGGCCCCCTCCCTGCCCTAGGCCCAAAGAGAGGAGGGACCCAGGAGGGCGCACCCCCCCCCCCCCTTGTCCAGACTGGACCAGCAACCCCAGCTGGCCTCTGGCCAGCCCAGGAGCACTGGCCTCCCCTACTTGGCAGTTGTCGGGTTGTCTGGCCAGGAGGCACATTCCTACCTTCTGAGCCCCGGCACCCCGCCTACCCTGGGGGCAGCCTCTTCCGGAACTTTGCTGCCAACCCAGCCCTGCCCTCCTGCCAACACTGCCCTCTGCCCGCCCCCCCCCCCAGGCTTTCTTGGGTCTTGAGTCCCCAACTGCTCACTGCAGGAATGCTTTCTTTCCCCTGGTCTCTTAAGAGGCACCCACTCAGCTGACCTCTGTCCTCTCCTACCTGTTCTGAGCAGGCAGCTAAATTTAAGGCCTGCTTAAGGGTCTTGGCAGGAAGGCCGTGTGACTTGAGCAGCTGTCCACTTTTGATTTTTCTCTGGCCTCAGGGGCCAATGGACCAGGAGGATGAGAGTGGGCTTCAGTTGCACCTGGAGCGACTTAGACTTGATATCAAAGAGTTCTTTATGATCCTTCCCAGTCTTAAGCATTTTGTTTTTAATGAGTTCATCAGATAATTAATATGTTGATTTTAGAGAAGTACAAAAATAGAACAAGATTGGGCCCCCACCTGTAGTCGCAGCTACTTTGGAGGCTGAGGCAGGAGGATGGCTTGAGCCCAGGAGTTCCAGGCCAACTGGAACAACATAGAGAGACTGTGTCTCTTAAAAAAAATTAAAAACAGCACAAATAAGTAAAAATTCCCTGTAATCCTCCACCGGGTTGTAACCGATGGAGACATATTTTCTGTCTATAATGATAAACAATTTTAATAGGTATAATAAACATAAAATATGGAGTCGTGCTATATATTTGGTTTTGTAAGGCACTTGGTGATTTTAATAGCTTTTTTCTCACTATAAAAGGAGGACAGGCTTATTATAGAGCTTTTGGAAAATATGACGAGTTAGAAGGAAAAAATTCACCCATACTCTGTCTCTAAAGGTAACCACAGTTGTCTCCATTGTTTCATGGTTTTTGTTCATTTAAGAATGCTGCTTCTCCTTTGTGTACCAATATATGGCCTGCTTTTCTCCCTTAATACCATATGACACCCCTTTGTCCTGTCAGTCTATGGGAGACGTGAGAGAATTGGAACCATGTTCTTGGGGGAGCTTTAGAAAAGAGATTTCCAGGGGTGATTTGTGGACTGGGTGGTCCCTTTTTGACTTGGTTTATCCTCTCCCTACCCAAAGATACTCCAACCCTAAGGACACCTTCCCCATTGCCACTAACCTCTAATAAGCCTCTTGGGTCAAAGGTCCTGCTTGCTGGGGACCCAGGAGGCCACCTGATTAGCACAGGGACCTGCAAGACTTCTGACCTCCATGACTTGTGACCTCCACGACTTGTGACCTCCACTGGAGATCTGGGCTCAGGAAAAGGGTTTGAATCTGGCCCAGGAATTTCAAGGAGGTCTCAGACCTCATCCAGGGCCCTCTTTGGCCCAGCCACACTCAGACCCAGAGGCCCCTGGTTGGTCCTGTGACTCACTCTCTGCTTGGACTTCCTAGGAGTGGGTTTCTGCTGCCTTGGCTTCTCACCCTCTCTGAGGCATGCAGGCCTGGCACCAGGCACAGCTTCCCTCTGCCCAGCTGACCCCCAGGCCTAGTTACAGGCTGCCCTCATCTCCACCCATCCCTGCTGCTAACCTCCCGCTTCTTCCCCTTTCCCAGACAGTTAAATTCTAACCTACCCAAACCCTATCTGAAATAGGACTTGAAAAATCACAGTTGTTGGAGACGGATTGGCATTTAAAAGGCATCCAAGGCTCGGGAAAAAAGGTCGCAGAGACAAGAGAATGCAGGGCCCTGTGTTTCGAACGGCAGCTGGATTTAGTGGATGGGAAAATCATAGCGTGCCCTGTTACCTGGCACAGAAGCATTGGGTATGGCATCAGATGTGCCGTGCTGTGCCAGGTCACCACCTGCCACCACCACTATGTGCTCTCAGAAATGAAAAAGTGAAGGAGACCTGTCAGCCTGCAGCCAACATCCCTATGGATTATATTCTCTTAATATTCATTTATCAGATATTTTAAACTTGGTTCACTTTACCTGTCTTTAGGAGGCAGCCAGGTTGGGGCTGAGATTGATACTCTGATTGTGGTTTGTTTATCTGGTCTAGGCACTGCCTGTGTGTGGAATGTAACCAAATGACAAGGTGGGCATGGCTGAGTTGGTGGGCCTTGGGGCCTGTGAGTGTGTGGTGTGTATTTGCCAGCTTGGGGGAAGGTGCATATTCATGGAAGGATTGATGGTGATATATATATATATATGTGTGTGTGTGTGTGTGTGTGTATAATTTATTTATTTTTATATGGTTCTGAGGATCGAATCCAGGGCCTCAATGTGCAAGGCAAGCGCTCTACCGCTGAGCTACAACCCCAGCCAGGATTGATGGTTCTTGTATGGTTGATATGTTCACATGTATCTGAGTTTTCCCATGTTGGGTTGTTGTGTATTCTCGTGTGTGTGTAATATGTAAGTTTGTGTTCATGTGCGTAAGGGGGAGTGCTGTTGGGTGGTTTATGTGTCTGTGATTGGGACCGGTGTCGAGTTGTGTGTATGTGTGAGTGGTTTGTGTATGTGGCTGAGGATCTGTGTGTGTTTGTGTGCGTGTGTGCCCTGTGGCGTGAGGCCCTGTTCCTTTGTGCTCATGGAGGAAGGTGCTATGGGATTTCTCCACCTGCTTTTTGAGTGTTGGGGACTAAACCCAGGGCCTGTGCATGCTAGGCAGGTGCTAGGCAAGTGCTCTACCCCTGAGCTACACCCCCAGCCCTGCACCTGCTTTTTTTTTTTTTTCCTAAATCAGTGGCAGGCAGTGGCCACTGACTGAGTTGCTCTTTGAGGACATCTGCTTTCCCACTGCGCCCTGAGCACGACGATGAGTGAGGTGCCTAGCAAATCTTGTCCCTGTGACCCCAGTGTGGCTGAATAACAGGAAGGACTGCTTTGGGGGCTTGAAGGGACACTGACAATCCCTGACTTTCCAGGAGGGCTGGGATGCAGAGACCAGAGGGCTCTGGGGTCAAGGTAGTTCAAGCCCACACTTCACAGATGAAGAAATCGAGGTCCAGAGGATTAAAAACTGCTTGTTAGTGGCCAAGCCAGGACCCTAATGCAGAGCATGGCTCCTACTCCAGGTCCTCTGTTTCCTCTCTGGTAACACAGCAGGTGGATTCCCAAATCCCTTTGGCCTCTGCCACACATGAGCCTCAGGGCAGCTCATAGCCAACTTAGGGCATCAGGACCAGAATGGCCAAAGCACTGAGAAGGCTGGGGTTTGTCACTGAGTCGAGTCCAAGCAGAACTCAAGAACATCAAGGACAGATGGGAACACCCCCGCTCTAGGACTCCAGTGTCAGTCCTGCACTGGGGCATTGTCTCTGTCTCCCCCCCCCCCCCCAAGCCCAGCCCCTGACCCAGAGGAGGCCCAGTGACCTGGGAAGTGGCAGGCAGTGCTTTAACAGCCTTTTCCCCCTCCCCATCTCTTAACAGCTAATGTGTCTGTCACTACTCCCCTAATGAGGCTGCCCAGGACCCCTGGGACAGATAGTTTTGCCAACCAGCTGGCCCTTAGGGTGGGAAGCTGGGGTAAGCCGTCCCCTGCCTGTATTCTCCAGGCCAGTTCAGCTGTGGAGGCACTGAAGCCCATCGAGGCCCCTTAGCCAGCTGTGAGAAGGAGAAGGGGGGTGGGGGGCTCGAGGAGGCAGGAAAGCCCACACCAGGCCCAGATTTTTCCTTGGCACGGTGACTAGTAACAGTGCTCCCATCTGGCCCACATCTACCTTTGCAGGCCTACTGTGCGCCAGGCAGTGAACTGCACCATGTTCTGGATGGATAAAATCCCTGCCCTTGGGGAGGTGTGGGCACTGGAGGGAAGACATTAGTCAAAGAGTCCAGTTATTCACATCATGCATTTGTGTATGGGAATGCTTATTGATCACAGGCTAAGACAGGACATGAAGGATGCACAGGGAGTCCTGGACCTAGGCCGGAGGCTGATCCAGGTACAGGATAAAAGTTCAACCATCCAGGACTGAGCAGGAGACCTGACTCCTGCTGTGTGGTTCTGGGCAACTGCCCACCTTCTCTGGGCTTTTCAGCTGGAAGGCATTTCCTTCTTGCTCCAACGCTGCCAAGTAGAACCAGGCAGTCTTCCTTTTCCAGGGCTCTTGGCCCTCCCCGACTGGGGCCTTCAAGACGTCTGTCGGCAACAACCTTGACTTTGGAATGCTCCAGGCACTGCCCCGGGGGACGCCCGGAGCCACAGCACAGCTCAGCACTGCTGCCTCAGGCCCCACCTGCCATTTCTTCTTAGCCCTTGTGCTCTCCTGGAGCCACCCCCCTGGGCCGCAGAAAGCCTGGAAGATGAAATCAGACGACCTGCCCCCCCCCCCCCCCATTGGTGAGAGAGGCATTTATTCATGCATTTGTTCATTCGTTTGCTTGACTGGTGTTTTCTGAACACCTGTTAATTATCAAGAATGCTGCTATTTGTTGGACCAGCGTGGCAAAAGGGTGGTCCTCCTGC